ATAGAGAGAGGGGGGAGGTTACTATAGAGATAGGTGGATAAATATTTTTCTTTAGTAGGACCCCATCGCTAATCTTAATTTATCTAACATATTAATTAATATTTAATATATAAATAATTTATTTATATATATTTATATAGTTAATAGTAGATAAGACGAATAAATGAGTTCTTTATCTTTTTATTTTTACGAATTGCGAGTTGTCTACATATATAAAAGTACACACACCATAATTAGCATCTCAAAATTAATCAATACATGTATTTCTTTCTCAACGGATCCCTTCCCTACTTACCAGACTGAAGACATGCATATTTCTTGATAAAAAAATAATGAGCTGCAAATCATGAACCTTTTTGTATAAACATGACAGTTTAACTGTTTGATGTATACATGAACATTCTTTAAGTATGTATCAGACATTCCTATCTATTATGTTATTCTATATGTAACGACCCGGCCGGTCGTTTTGAGAGTTAGCGCCCCGATCTCTTATTAACTGCTTTTCCCGTATCTATTTCTGCTATTGTGACTTGCCGAGAGGTTTCGTTTTGAGTTTCGGAGTATTTTGGGACACTTAGTCCCTAAATGGGAGCTTAAGTCTTAAGAATTTAGACCGTAGTCGGAACAGTATGAAGACGGCTTCGGAATGGAGTTCCGTCGATTCCGTTAGCTCCGTTGGGTTATTTTGTACTCAGGGGCGTGTCCGGATTGTGTTTTGGAGGTTTGTAGCTTATTTAGGCTTGAAATAGCGAAAGTCGAATTTTTGGAGATTTCGACCGGTAGTGGACCTTTTGATATCGGGATCGGAATCCGATTTCGGAAATTGGAGTAGGTCTGTAACGTTAATATGACTTGTGTGCAAAATTTGGGATCAATCAGACGTGGTTTGATAGGTTTCGGCATCGGTTATAGAAATTGAAGTTTCAAGTTCTTTAAGTTTGAATTGGAGGGTGATTCGTGATTTTAGCGTTGTTTGATATGGTTTGAGAGCCGACTAAGTTCTTATGGTGTTTTAGGACTTGTTGGTATGTTTGGTTGAGGTCCCGGGGGCCTCGGGTGGTTTTGGGTGCTTAACGGATCAAGATTGGAATGTATGTTATTGCTGAAGTCTTCAGACTTCTGGTGTTTTCGCACTTGCGGAAGGGAGGCCGCAGGTGCGGGAGAAGCGCAGAAGCGGAAAAATGGAGGAGTGCCAGGGGTCGCAAGTGCGAGGTGCATTCCGCATCTCCGATGCCCGCAGATGCGGTGGAAAGACCGCAAAAGCGACCAAATAGCCGCAGGTGCGGCCTCCTTTCCGCAGATGCGGACCCAGCTGTCTTAAGTGATTTTCGCACCTGCATGATTTTTCCGCAGGTGCGGTGCTGCAGGTGCGATGGATGGACCACAAGTGCGGTTTAACTGGCAGAAAAGAGAGAATTCGAGGGTTTGATTTCATTATCCATTTTTGGACCTAGAGAGCTCGGATTGAGGCAAAATTTTGAGGAATTTCCGAAGAAGCTTGTGTGTAACGATTCTTAACTCCTTTATGGTTATATCCCACTAATCTATGGTTAATTTCATCATTTAATTAAGGATTGGAGTTGGAAATTTGGGAAAAAATGGTAGAAACTTCATAGACTAAAATTTCAAGTTTCGGAAGGCGATTTGAGGTCGGATTCGAGTAATTCTTGTATGGTTAGACTCGTGAGTGAATGGGTGTTCATATTTTGTGACTTTTACTCGATTCTGAGACGTGGGCCCGAGGAGGATTTTTGGGTGTTTTTTTATTTTCTTGTCTTAGCTTTGATTTCATTAGCTAGATTAGTTGTTTGTAGCTATATTTACGTTATGTAATTGATTTGGCTAGATTTGGGCCATCCGGAGTCGGATATTCGTGGAAAGAGCATTGTAACGGATTGATTTAGCTTGGTTCGAGGTAAGTGGTTTGCCTAACCTTGTGTGGGGGAACTCCCGTTAGGACTTTGGTACTGTTTGATATATGAGCACCGTGTATGTGAGGTGACGAGTACGTACACGAGCTATTTATTGTAAAACTCCGTTTTTCACTAAGTCTTAACCTGTTTTTTTTCCTTGTTGAAACTACACATAGTACATGTAATAACCTTGTTTGATTCAAAAAGTATGCCTACTTGTTGTAACTGTTTATTTGAACAAGGTGCAACATGTTTAGTGAAAATTTCCTCTTTTAAAAAAAAAAGTTAGTCTAAGCTGTAGAATTCCTTGTTGAAACTGTTGTTTATGTTTATTGAGCTGCATATTTACTTTGGGACTACGGAATGGTATTCCGGGAGATCTCTCTGCACATTTATATTTGGGACTACGGGACGGTATCCTGGGAGATCCCCCTGCACATTTACTTTTGGGACTACGAGATGGTATCCCGGGAGATCCCCTTGCACATTTACGTTTGGGACTACGGAACGTTATTCCGGGAGATCCCCTTACACATTTACGTTTGGACTACGGGACGGTATCCCGGGAGATCCCCCTGTTGCTATTACTGTGTTCAGGACTGTTAGCTTCCATTGAGTTCTATTCTTGTTAGATTTCTATATTTGTTTTATTGTAATATTCTTCTGTCTTATTTCATTATATTTATACCAGTAGGGCCCTGACCTGATCTCGTCACTACTCGACCGAGGTTAGGCTTGGCACTTACTGGGTACCGTTGTGGTGTACTCATGCCCTTTCCTGCACATGTTTTCGTGTGCAGATCCAGGTACCGCTTATCAGCCACATTACCAATGAGGCAAGCCAGTTGTAGAGACTTCAAGGTAAATCTGCCGCGTCCGCAGACCTCGAAGTCCCTATTTATTCCACCCCATGTCGACCCTTTTGTATTTTTCTTCTTTTATTAGACTCCGGAGTATGGGAGTATTGTTTCTTTCTTTAGCTTGTGACTTATGACATTCCGAATTTTGGGAGAGTTTATGTACTGTTCGGAAGTGATTATTGTATATGTCGAGCGGCATCTCATTTCCTTGTTTAAATTTACTTGTTAGTTGATAGCTTTTATGTTTTCGTTCCCCTTTTCCCGCAAATGTTAGGCTTACCTAATCGTAGAGACTAGGTGCCGTCACGACGGTTCACGGAGGAAGAACTTGGGTCGTGACGCTGTATTACCGTAGTAAAATTCTGTCAATGTTCTAAAACAAAGAGTCTATAAAATATTCTGCATATTCATTATCATGACAAAAAATTCATACACCTTGCCCCACCTTTTGTTGTCGTGTTTACAACAAAAAAAGTTTAAATATAAGCCATGTATTGAAATGGTAATACTCTAGTAATAATGATATAATGAAGTAAACTTTTAATGAATAATCTACTAATATAACCTTTGGATAATTCTAAGCAAAATAGGTCTCCACAAATTTCTAAGACTTAGATATATCATATTACAAAAAGGATGCTGTAAGATAAGAGGTTAAACAAAAATTAAATGCTATTTGCATTTAACAACTTACTGGGTCATCATCATGCTAAGGTACCCGGGGCATTTGCATCTATACCCGCTTTTTGTGTCACGTTTTAATTTGTGCTCGCTTTGCAAAAAAATTGCAAGCATACCCGCTTTTTCGCATAACTTCAGCATACGGGGCTGAAGTAGCAAAGGCAATCACGCAAAACTTCAGCATTCTAGTAGACGGGCCTAAAGTTTTTATTTTTGTAACTGGCGAACTTCAGCTCTAGAGCTGAAGTTTTTGTTTTGTAACCGGCGAACTTCAGCTCTAGAGCTGAAGTATTTATTTTTGTAACCGGCGAACTTCAGCTCTAGAGCTGAAGTTTTTGTTTTGCCTTAGCTATGCACAATCCAATCCAAAGCAGATAGAAGCACCATTTCTTTTGGCAAGTCCAAGTAGAGCAGCACACTAAAAACAAGAAGAATAAAGTCGTACTCTAAAGGGAAAAAGAAAACTAGAAATGGTTTCATAAACTCCATGGTGTTTTACTTGGACTTGCTTAGAATTTAATCCCTACCGCGAACTGTTGTTTCCTACAAACCATCATCTTGGTTTCAGAAACTTTTGGATAAATTTGCTTAGAATGGAAGGACTGTCGAACGGTCCCAGTGTTATCATCTAACAAATCTATCTATGCACAATCTAATCCAAAGCAGATAAAATAGGGAAAATTTCACATAAGAACAACTGGGCTCCCTACTTTTCAATTTTATAGCCCATATTTATGGAAATCATCCCATGAACTGAAGTTCCATAGCAGCATCAACAGCAGCAGAAGAAAGAAGAAGAAGAAGAAGAAGAAGAAGAAGAAGAAGAAAACGAAGGAGGAGACGGAGGAGGAGAAAGGGGGCCGAAGTTATTTAAAAAGTGAATACAAGTTAAAAGTTTTTAAAAAAATGGGTATAGGTTAAATGGAGGCGACCAAATAGGGCGCCCCGTTCAATTTTTACAAGGTACCCTTAGCGCCACTACCTTTTACGGAGTCGAAAAATTAAATGGACAGGGCCGGCTCAATGGTAAAACCACTCAAGCAACTGCTTGCTTGAGGCCCCACATCTAAGGGGCCCAAAATTTTTTGATATTATAATAAATTTTCTGATATTAATAAAAGATGTATCTGTATTTGTTGAATTTTTAAAAAAGTATTTAGTATATAAAAAAAAGTATATCTTTCATAAATAAGAAAACTATGGGACCGATAGAGATAACTTGGGAATAGGAATAGTAACTTACGTGTGAATATACACCCACAACTACTTGTTTTACAACTGTTCTTCTAACCGGCACTAACTTGACTACATTGCACAGCACCTCACTCTTCAACTAACATAACTAACTTTTCCCCCAAATTCTTGATCAGCAAATATCTCTTGCTTATGACATGGCCTCCTAGCTGGCATGTGAGTTGTTTTGCGAGCTCCTTTGTGCATCACTAGAGGCCAGTATGTTTCCCCGAGACCCATTTTAAAAACGTTGGAAAAAAACAAGGGAGAAATACTATTGTAATATTCTGAAATCTTAATGACACTAGAATAAACAGAAAAGAGTTTTGGTTCATACTTCATAGTTCATACGCATCAATCATTATCATTAGAAGAAAAATATTATTCAGAAATGTCTCGTTCGCTAAAGTGGGAAGTGGGAACCTTCACATTATATAATCGGACGGACAAAGATTATCTGACTCAAAATACAGTTCAACCTACAATGTCTGATTCCCAAATTCAATACTTAAGCCGCCAAATTTTTATCACTTGGACAACCCTGCCTGTTCACATTTAGTAATTGAGGGGCCACATCAGTCTCCTTTGTGAGTCTTCCCCTTGGCAGAAGACAGACACCATACACAGCGAGGTTTTTGCAAAGAGACGAAGAAAACACCTCAGAATTCACCTAGCAGTCATTCGAGATGTTTTCCCACCTCAGATTCTTGTGGATGAGAGCAATACAGCGTGCCATCTCTGCATGCCATCTTTCAGCACCCGGCCACTGTAATGCCATACAAAATATATTTCATCTTGCCACAGTATGCTTTTAACTTCTATGATTGTTGTACCACATGATGGCCTTTGAGATCTCAAACCCTGAGACTGGATTAAAATCTCGCATCTAAGGCTTTGCGTCACCAGCCTGAAAATATTGAAGGGAAAAATATAACTAACATAATTAAGTAAATAAAAGTATGCTCTTTCTAGCAGCTTAAGCTTCTAAATTAGTTGATCACACAATTCAACAATGTGATTTATTTGACACGCGCATGTTTTACAAAAGAACTAAGTCAAGCAGGAGCTCATAAATATCAAACTGATGGCCAGTGCTACCTGAGAAATATATGACGAGTGATGCTCTGAACTCTTATGCTGAAAGAGCCCAAAAGTTATGATCAGAGAAGGAAAGGCATAAAAGCGGCACTTTGATTGTCTGCAGCTCCTGAAGATACTTTTAGACGACATACTAAGAGTTTGTGAAAACTGAAACATGCTCCACTCATTCTGGATTTATTGAGATCTAACCAGACGAGCTGCAAAAGCTCCATCAAGTTCATGCTTCACAGGATTAGACAAGTAGAAACCTCGTGTAGTGACAAAATCCTCCGGTACATATCTGTTCACAGGATCAATGTCGAATTCCTGCAAGGAAAAAGATGGAGACGGTTAGAGCGATGTGCGACATTCAACTTTTCTGTTACAGGAATAGCAACTCGAAAACCAGCCCCCTCCCCCACCCTTAAACAGAAGAAGATGGAATAATGCTTTTAATTACAATAAAATACAGCACTATCAACTTTAGCCCTGCAAGGTCAGGAATAATGTTGACGATTAAAATAATAGACAGAACTATCGAAGTTAGCCCTGCTAGTTGAACTTTTAAACACATATTTGGTTCTATTTGTTTCTTCGATAAGTACGTCGCTCTATTATTGTCATGACAAGGGTGAGCAATCTGGTCCCTCGAGAAGAAGACCAATTTATCAGTAAACCAGAGAGAAGACGTGGGACAATCAATTTAGGCATGAGAATTCCAGAATAAGATGCCCAAATTATGAAAAAGAAGATATATGAAGACAAGATGAGAGGGTTTATACCAGCAATCTCTCAAAAAATGATTTCTGAAACTCCAGTTTCTTCTCTCATTTTTTTTTTTTTAAATTTTGGAATTTCATCCGTCTTCTATTGGGTGAGAATTATTTGACAACAATAGGCCTGTGCTTTCTATATAAAGCATATAGTCTCATTTAGCACAGCCTCAATAGGAAGCAAAATCCTCACTCCTTATTGCCTGAAATGGGTTTTGAGCATGATATATGTGCAATATCTGATTGTTATGAAAGAACCAACTTTAAAGATAAGAGATAAAGCAATTTCCAGTCAAAATTCTTACTGGATGCCTTAGAAGAAAAGCTTCAATTCTTTCCTCATTTTCTTCAGGGTCAATGGAACATGTGCTGTATATTAGAACTCCACCTGGCTTCACCAACCTGCAGATGCAGAACAAAAGCATAAAGGAAAAGGAAACAAAAAACAGAACCTCATATGTTAATGTGTAAAGCTAGTCCTCAATCATAATGCATATAACCAAGAGGCATTTCAGATTGTAAATACATGTAGTTGCAGTAAGAAACTTAACCAGCTTTGACTTAATAAAACAGGCAAATTGAGTTACAATTTGTTGGGTTTTGGATGTATTTAATTAATATATTAAATACTTAAAGGAGGGTGAATGGGAAATGGAGGGAAATGAAATTTTTGAGTGAAATTTTAAGTTCCCCTCGGCAAATGGGCAGTGTCCCATATTGGAAGAGGAAGAGATTTTTTATGGGTATATAAGCAATTGCTCTTCTTCTAGCTCTTAAAGAGTTGAGAAGAAGGCAAGCCTCGCGCCGTCGTCGTCATCGCTCGCTCGGCTCGGCTTCGGCTTCGGCTTCGGCTTCGGCTTCGGATTTGGTCAAATGATTGATTGATTAACTTTTTGGACCAAATTTATTTGTTAATAGTAAAATATTAACAGAAATGTTATTAAATATTTGTTTTAATAACAGAATATTAATATTAAATCCAATCCGTTTTTCTGTTTTGGTAACAGAAAAGTAACTACCCTCTTCAATTTTCCCTCTTTATTTTCCCTCTTTATTGTTGAGTAAATGGCCATTTATGTAATGGCATTTATGCTGTGGGCGTTTTGCATAAACAGCCATTCTGAAGAGTTGCACCTCTTCAGATTTCAGTCCAACTTTGGCTATAAATACAACACTATTCTGCTTAGAATTTCACTACGATTTTCTGAGTTTCTTCTCCTTCTTCTGCATACTTTTAGCATCAAACAAAGCAAAAAGTAAGTGTAATTTGCTACCGAACTTTGTGTTCGCTGAAACACTGGGGTTTGAAGTACCACTACACCAGTGTGTAATTCGTTCTATCCTGGGAGGAAATAATCCATAACCTTGGGTACTAGGAGGGGATTAAATTCCTTAAGGAAACACTGTGAATTCAGTGGGCTCGAATTGGTTTTATGTCATTTCTGTTTATGTTCATTTCTCTTTATATTCATTTATATTTCCAGAATTATTTTACAAATACAGTCTACTAACAATAACTCTAATGGAGTTTGTAAGAAATTACAACCACCTGAAGTGGTAAAATTTCTATGCCTTGCCATGATCAAATTCATGTATGATTTGGGCAAACTATTGAAAACCCGTCCCACTGAATTTGCTCTATTCTCATTCCCTTAAGAGAATATGATAGCAGTATGTGATAAGTCTGAAAGAAGACAAAATTATTACTATGAATGTATCAATGGATGTGGACGTGGCAATAGACAAAATTATAATCGTCATCATTGTGGTAATGAGAACAATAAGGATTCTCAAAGTAATCCTTCACTTTGTGAAAGTAATACTTGTCATCGATTTGACATGCGATTTTGCAAAACATATAGATGATTATGGTCCATTCATGATTTGAATGTGACAACACGTGATTTATGAATACGTATTCATTCTTGTAAGAATATGAACGTGCTAGTGGTAGTGAATATACCACACTCACCTCTAGAATGAGGTTTGAGAGAAAATAAGAAAATAATATCATTATTATGGCATGAATGGTCATTGGTCACGTACCTATTGTACGCCAAAATATTTTGGTAATGTGATTCTTAAAGAATAACATTGATGCAAGAAACATATCTTGTATATAATTTTGACCATAATCATAATGGTATAACTTTCTCTTTTTAAAAGAGATATTCACCACATGGATGTTGATGAATATGTGGTAGTACAAAATTAATTGAGAACTCTGCAAGCCAATTATATTATTTTGAAAAAAAAAACACAATTGATTACCAATAGGGTATTGTGTGTTGTAGTAAGTCTCAAAGAAACTTATTCAGTTTTCAAAGTATACGCGAAAGCGATTGATTATATTGAGACTATAAATAAAGGAAAGATTTAATATCTTCTATTACTACAACTTGTAGCGGGGTAATATGTATGTGAAAAGTTATCCGCTTGATTCTTTATTTTATACTACACAAATAAAAGAATACCACAATAAAATGAATGTTTATTGATATAAAAACCCATATCATAATAAGCTTGTGGTTTATTGATAATTGCACACGTCATGGTGTAAATCTGAAGTTTATCAATATTGATAATTTATTCAGTTGGCATAATTGGTATATCCATATCAATTTAAGTATGATATGCAAAAATAATAGAGAATTCACATGGGTAAATATTAAAGAACTAGAAAGTTCTTTACGAATTCTCTTATATTGCTTGTTCTCAGTAATTAATAGATCAACTAAAATTGGGATAAAATCCCATGAATGCTGGAAATATCAAAGGTGAATATGGGCCCATTCACCTTCCATGTATACCACATAAGATGCATCTATGAGAAGGTTACATGTGCGATTATTATTAACCCGCAACATGGTGTTTGCGAGGTAACTTGCTCAATAATTTGATTTAGAGCATAATTTCCAGATTTTTTATTCAAGATAATTCATCTTGATAAGTTGGTTTACATCACAGTTGGTTTAGAAAAATGATTATTGAGTGCCTCCACTTAATAGCTAAACAATTACTTATGAGAACAAAATTTTGAATATCAGTTTGATATACGTTATATAAGAAAGTATATTATTTTCTCCCCTCACAAGTGGTTTGGGGTCAGGAACCAAATAATTTCATCTTATAATTATTGATGTGCGGTGTATATTTTTTATTAACACCATAACGCACAAAGATGGATTTTCAAAATTGAGGAAGCAAGTTAGTTTTTCTAACATGAGGGGAGACAAGATAAACAGTTGAGAAAAAGTTACGTGTAATGAATTATCATGTGCACATCTAGATCCTCGAATAAGATAATATGAACTTGAAGTTCATAAAAGATAATTCCTTTGAAATATATTGCAAAGCATGCCAGACGCATTTGCTGACCCAAAGAAAGTAACTATATTCTCATTGCAAATGCTCCTATTAAGTCCTAGAAGGACAAAGTCTATGGTAAGCTTAAAGCGTATAGACAATCGGTTTCAAATAAACTTCTTGAGAAAGAAAATGAGCAAATGATCAAAATGATCATAATAAAGGAGGCAAGTGATCTAGAAGATCACATGACATAACACTTCATAAAATCTCATGAGAGATTCAGATACCTGAATATATGAATGAAGAGATCTCTATATTATGTCTTTATGAAAAATAAGGAGGTTGGAACCGATATAAAATGTTTGTCGGCGACATTGATTAATAGCACTAAATATATATGAGGATCTTAACTCTGGAGAAACAATTCAAGTAGAATTTGGTTTCATATGAAAGACAAGTAGTTTTGGACCTGCAGTTCAAACACTTAACAATATAAAGATAATGGTGTGTGCTATCACCTTTATGTATCTTATATGTCTGGCATGACATGAAAACTTGATGCAAATCTAAAATCTATTTATATGGCTTATTGATTATACTTATATGGCAATCCATGAACGATTTAAAATGCTGATAGCATATGCAATTCTTGGAGAATTTTTTGGTCACGAATGACCACATCCTAAGTGCAACTTGTGCACAAAGATATCTTTCTATCACTATAAGTATGATAAAGTGATAGCGAGGATTTTCAAGGTGCAACATATTCATTGGAGTTAATATGGCGGATTTATTCACCGAATCTTTGCCGATGTCAACCTTCAAGAAGCTAGTGCACAAGATTGGGATGCGAAGGCTCAAGGATGTGAATTGATGCTCTCGTCAGGGGGAGTTAATGCGCGTTGCACTATTTCCCTTACAAGGTTTTGTCCCACTGGGTTTTCTTTGTAGAGTTTTTTGCGAGGCAACCAAAAGGCGTATTGTTAGATATGTGTACTCTTTTTCCTTCTCTAGAATTTTTTTCCCACTGGGTTTTATTTTAGTTAAGGTTTTAACGACGCACATTATCTGTTGAATAGACATTCAAGGGGGGANAGGAGATCAAACAAAGTCATTTATGACGGTTCAACATTGTCAACTAAACTTTTGGTCCATTCTCGTGATGAGACAATGTTCAGTACCAAGGATAAAGCATTAAGGCTTTTTAATGATTTCTAAATTTGATACGGGGTATATCAAATAGTGTATCTACGGGATGACACGTTTAGGAATCACCTATGTAAGTGTGAAGTGTTAGCCGCTTCAAGGAGAACATTGTAAGGCCAGTTCTCTACGCACTTATGAAACCAGGCGGTGTTCATGGCTGAAACGAACACAATAATGAGAACCAAAGACGGTTAAGGGTTGGTTGTGTGACTTGTGGTTGTCTAAGTATACATTAAAGTTCGACGGTTCAAAGATATCAAATCTACCGATTGATCGAGTATATCTGACATAAGTTCACTAAGGAAAGTTCAAAGGGAAACCTACTTATCCAGATGCAATTAATCCTTACTTGCGAATCACACAGTTTTTCATGCATACTTCCGTGATATAGCCATTCCCCATGCATGTGGGGGATTGTTGGGTTTTGGATGTATTTAATTAATATATTAAATACTTAAAAGAGGGTGAATGGGAAATGGAGGGAAATGAAATTTTTGAGTGAAATTTTAAGTTCCCCCCTGGCAAATGGGCATTGTCCCATATTGGAAGAGGAAGAGGTTTTTTATGGGTATATAAGCAATTGCTCTTCTTCTAGCTCTTAAAGAGTTGAGAAGAAGGCAAGCCTCGCGCCGTCGTCGTCGTCGCTCGCCCGGCTCGGCTTCGGCTTCGGCTACGGCTACGGCTTTGACTTCGGCTTCGGCTTCGGCTTCGGATTCGGATTTGGATTTGGATTTGGTCAAATGATCGATTGATTGATTAACTTTTTGGACCAAATTTATTTGTTAATAGTAAAATATTAACAGAAATGTTATTAAATATTTGTTTTAATAACAGAATATTAATATTAACTATTAATATTAAATCCAATCCATTTTTCTGTTTTGGTAACAGAAAAGTAACTACCCTCTTCAATTTTCCCTCTTTATTGTTGAGTAAATGGCCATTTATGTAATGGCATTTATGCTGTGGGCGTTTTGCATAAACAGCCATTCGGAAGAGTTGCACCTCTTCAGATTTCAGCCCAACTTTGGCTATAAATACAACACTATTCTGCTCAGAATTTCACTACGATTTTCTGAGTTTCTTCTCCTTCTTCTGCATACTTTTAGCATCAAACAAAGCAAAAAGTAAGTGTGATTTGCTACCGAACTTTGTGTTCGCTGAAACGCTGGGGTTTGAAGTACCACTACACCAGTGTGTAATTCGTTCTATCTTGGGAGGAAATAATCCATAACCTTAGGTACTAGGAGGGGATTAAATTCCTTAAGGAAACACTGTGAATTCAGTGGGTTCGAATTGGTTTTATGTCATTTCTGTTTATGTTCATTTCTGTTTATATTCATTTATATTTCCAGAATTATTTTACAAATACAGTCTACTAACACAATTAACATCAACCCAGCTTGTATATCTCATTTTCCAACTCTCTTGTACTCAGTAGGAGAAATGTTTATAAAGATATGCGCCTTATTTTGATCCACTTCTGAACTTGCATTATCCTCACCAGTCACCAACATTACTAGGAAAAAGCTACTCAATATTGGCAGCAACAATTAAGGTCAAGATTGCACTTAGTTTATGAATTAAGAACTATGGTTTTACCTGGAAGCTGAATCGAGAAGTTCATCCTGTAAATGTTTAAGCTGCTCCATATCTTCCTGTTTCCTATTCCAACGCAAATCTGCTCGCTTTTGCAAACAAAGAGGAAATATACATTTCAAAAGTCCCAGCTACTACTACCTATGGTTTAAAGAAAGATGAAACAACAGAAGCAAGAATAACAAACGTGACATAAGACGAAGAGGAATAAAGGACCAAAACTTCTAGCACCCATGCAAGCTTACATCGAACAATAAAAATTGCACACATCTCTAGAATGAAAATACCTTAGAAAGAACACCCAGCCCTGAACAAGGTGCATCCAGCAAGACTTTATCCCATTCTACGACCTTATCGGTCTGCCAAAAGTTAAACCAGGGATTAGCAGTTGGAAACTAATATACCATGTTTTTTTTACAACTTGCAAGTTCTTACAGAAAAAGTTCGAAGATCAGCATGGATAGTACTGATAACATCAATAACTTGGTGTAATTTGGCTGTCTCTTTGAGTATCCGCAACCGACCTTCATTTATGTCAACGGCAAATAATGTACCTGACAAACAAGTAAAGCACTGGAGTGTTGCATTAAAGAGTCAACAAACATAACTTTCATACATAAGAAAAGGTTAATGACCAGAATTGCTGGCCAAGCACTATGCATATAACTATTTACATAATCCACCATTGAAATTGCTGAAAACATGCAATGCTTTAACAAGGTTAAGTCACCAATGATCAATAGTTAAAAAAAAAAAAGGCTTTATCCAGTTGTAAAACAAAAAAATATGACGAGCCATCTTGATTCTGAAACTCTCGAAAGAGAAAAATAGATATTACAAAGCAACGAACCTGGTAACTTTTGATTGAGTTACTTTTAGGCAACAGCAACAACATAATACCCAAATGCGATCCCACAAGTGGGGTCTGGGGAGGGTGGGATGTACTCAAACCTTACTCCTACCTTGTGTGAGGTAAAGAGGTTGTTTCCGATAGACCATCGGCTCAAGAAAAGTGTTTTCAAAACAGGTTTGAAAAATACAAGAGTAAAAAAAAGCTAAGATGAAAATACTGAAGAAAAGAAAAGCATTGCCAGCAAAAGTTACTTTTCGGCACCAACAATTAATAAATGTAATTAGCAATGCACAAGGAAATATGGTGTTTGTATAGCAGACACCATAATCTACTTTTCCAGGACAGGCATCCTCACCTACGTTTTATTTCATTACTGAATACACAAATTTAAATTCTGCATGTGCTATGCTCCTGTCAGAAGATCTTGCCTTTAGTTAGCTCCCAAAATATGTAATAGGACAATATTTTTCCATGTAATTTCATCTCTAAAAGCTTTCATCTGTCAGCTATGATGAGCAAGGTTTGTATGAAGGTTACCTTGGCCATTCAAGCGGGAAGCCATGAACAAGGTTTTCCCTCCTGGAGCAGCACAACAATCAATAATGCTCTCACCAGGTTGAGGATCAACAATAGAGACTACTAATCCTGCAGTAATTAGGGTTATTAGGGGAATGATACACATCCTTTTTCACCATTTATGATATTTGTACAGGTTTCAAACTCGAGTATAAACAAATGCATTATCACAATGAGGCCATCGAATTTGGAATATGAGATACAAGTCAATGACCAACAAAATACCAATCCAATTTTCAAGCAAGTGGACATTAGTTTCCACAGTATATAACTTGTAAAAGGAAGGGGAGACACTCTGACAAAGAGTGTGGATCAAATGAAGCAAATCATCATAGCAAATTATGAACAAATGGGAAGTAAGGATGGAATTTTCTTTTTCTTCGCGATGATATGTGAATGGTCCAAGATATCCAAAAGAAGCTGAACTCTCCTTCCTTAATCGTGTTGACTAGGAAAGCATATGAAAACAACTCTGTGCTGTCAAAGCTTTCTTAAATTGGAACTACTCCCCCTGCCCGCTAAAGGAATAGTTGTATATCAAGCCAAGGTTCAAGGGATAACTGAAAATGAAAGAAGGAATCTCTTGTAACATACTCAACTACACATTTACTACAAGTCCACATACTCCACATTTTGAGTTCTGTGAGGCGATTACCGGCACTTTCATCCTGGACTGCACAGAAGCCTTCTTTTAGTAACCCAGCCTGTATAACATTCTGAAAGAAGAGACCTTAAAAAGTCAATTGAGCTGCAAAATACATAAAATGCACATATGAAACTAAGAATTAAAGACCAATTCAAGTTTTAAAATGACATAAAAATATATGACAACACTTCCAATCGACATTATTTGGTGTCATCTAAAATTCTACATTAAGTATGTGACTTCATCTCATCCATTTCTTCCAGCTGAATTTGTCCATAACCAGAATCAGTACCATAGTGGAAACAGTTGAGACTACCTTTTCTATTTCTTTGATATGGTAAACCCCACCCGATAAACTCCTCTATTCAGGAGTCAATGGTGGCCCTTTTCCCAATTTGCTCTTCTGGTGGCTCAAACCCCAACATCTTTGTTAGAGATGAAGGGCCCTATCACTCACATTTCAACAGTTGACACTAACTTTAAATCAAGTCTCTGCGGTAATTTTGAGAGCTAAAAAGTAAAGGAACACGCATTCTGGTTTCTTCTTTATAAGTAACTAATTATCGATCACTACTGAAGTGACCTATCAAAATAGAAAAAATCTACATCAATGGCATAAAGATGGCCTTATAGTAAAGACTGTTTGAGGATCTTAAGAACCTTGTTGAAGTCATACCTGCATTCCAGTTTTAATACGAACAAAATCATCCAAGTATAGAGAAGGCTCATGTGGAACCTAAAGTTCAAGAAAGGAAATGAATGAGCCATTGTAATACACGAAACAAATGCAGAATCTTGCAGAACAATTCAGAAAATATGATGGTCTCAAGTAGTGTCTAGGACACTCATCCTATTTTGTTATTAAAAAAAAGGCAGAAGAAGACTCTGGTATGATGGACTTCTATTCAGAGTTCTAAAATTCTTAACCACCAATGAATGATATCTATTGAACTCTCTTTGGTCAACTAGACATTCAATATTTTGGCTTCTGAGTAAGGTATATGGTAAATGGCCAAATATATCCTTGTACAATGAGAAAAGATTTAAATATACCCTTCATTATACTTTGGGTCCCAATATACCCCTACCGTTATACTATTGGTTAAAATATACCTCTCTTCCGTTAAGTTTGTCCAAAGTGGACATCCGACATTTGAAGAGGTGGATGCCATGTGGCATGCCACCTTAGCGCCCCTAACCCATTTTACCCCTCCCCTCTCTTTGTTTTTCCACCACTTAAATTTTCTTCCTCTCTGCCACCATTCCCACCATAACCGCCACCATGGACGATATTGAATTTCACTCTAATGGTGATATTGGAAGCGTCTGATAAGATAAGTGGCAGAATAAGGAAGGAGGAATTGGACGGAGTAATGGTGGAACTCTCCTGTCGGGGAACTTGCCCTTCACTCTAAACTCCGTACTTGCTTCTCTGATTACAGTAATGCCCGTTACAACATCTATGATCACAGGTTCGTAACATCTTTAAACAAAATATATGAACTGTAAATGTTCAATTTTGAATCTCTTTATTGTGTAGTGGTGTAGTTAATGATTGTGTGTGTATATGTTATGTTCTTGGCGGTGATAGTGATAGTTTATTGTTTATTTATTTATTTATTTCGTTATTTTTTATCGTGAAATTACAGTAGGAAGATATTTCCAAGTGGAGTAGCGGCGGACTCGTACAAGAAAGCAGTGGACTCGGGGATTCAAAAACTCAGAAGCCAAGAAGGAAATAACAACCAAGAATCCTCTGCTAAAATGTTGTTTTTGGTACATAAATGACACTGTTTTTGGTACCTTTTTTTTAACAGAATTTTTGCAATAATATTTTATTGTTATTTTGGATTTTGTTGCAATACTCCAAAAACATCAAAAGAGCTAGCGATTGACTTCCTTCTCCATGACTTTGAAATGGCAGGTCAATTTTTAAATTTTCAAAGCAGCTAGCAGTGTAATTATATTGAATCTGATGTGAACATGAGTGGAGAAACAAACATATATATAAAAAGACTAAACTTTGAATACAATATTGTTTATGGTGACAGTAATGGCGATAATGGTAGTGGAGGAGAAAAAAATTTAAGTGGTGGAAAAAAAAAATAGAAGGGAGGGGTAAAATAGGTTAGGGACGCTGAGGTGGCATGCCATGTGGCATCCACCTCATCAAATGTCAGTGCCACGTAGGATTGGATGTCCACTTTGGACAAACTTAACGGAAGAGGGGTATATTTAAACCAATAGTATAACGGTAGAGGTATATTTGGACCCAAAGTATCAAGGGTATATTTAAACCTTTTCTCATTGTACAGGGGTATATTTGGCCCTTTTCCGTAAGGTATATTACCAAAGATAGAGAGACAAAGAGTCCAGAAGTGATCCTAAATTTTGTTATCAGTATGGAATGAAATGCATCTAAATATTACCTTCAAAATTTTAAGCCTTGAGACCAGATCAGCCCCTGTCAAACCTTTCCCGGTATTTGCCCTAGTTTTGTTAAACGATACGAACACAAAAAGTGTCACACTATCATCCAGAGAACGGGTAAAAGAGGAAAGAAAGCTTCATCATATACCGTAGACTGAAACTGGGAGAGCTGTTATTCCATGTCATAAGCTTAATAGCTTCGTCCCGTCCAAAATACTTAGTCCATCTTCTTACCATCCACTAGGAAACATGGTAAAGGAATGCATAGAAGAAAGATTAAGATATGTGAAAAGATAGTCATATGACTATGCTTATAATACTATAATCTGTGATGTTCTAAAGCATAGAGGAAAAAGATTTGTGATAAGAGGACCATATAATAGACGTCTCATGAAAAATATCCAAACCATGCAACAAAATGAGGGTCATTTTGGTAAGTTCTTAAACAAACTCGCTAGAACTTAAACCAAATCCATATGATTAAACCCAAGCATCATTTTATCTCCAACCAGAGTTATGAATCAATGACAGAACTCACCGTATGGATGAAGAAATATACATCATTGAAACACTGAAACTTCCAAACACGAATTTATAAAATTTATTTGACACAACCATGGATGTACAGGACATTTTGCTAAAATATCAGACTTGGATCTTCTAAGACAAAAGATTAAAAAAGAAACAGTTCAAACGTACAACTGGATGAGAGTAAAGAGTGGCAAGACCACGTGCTTGCTGACGATCATCACCGTCCACTTTTACTGCCGGAAGGGAATCACTCTCCTGCAGACATGAAAAAATAAATGTCAGGGAACCAGTAGATATTGTTAGATCCTATGTGCTGGTGGAATAATACATACCTTAAGGACAATTAGTTTCCTAAGAATCCCATTAACCAAGTTACCGGCACCAGGCCTAAGAGCAACCTTAGCGAGCTTTACATTCTGCAGTTAGATTTTAACATCCGAAAAAAAGAAGTATGCTTACATTACTTTGCATAAAGAATGTTCATCTCACTTATCAAAATGAAACAAAAAGAGATAATGTTTATTTTCAAAAGATATGAAGTGAACATGATATGCTCTGTATTTATCCTTTTCCATTCTAGGATGTCAAATGGATGCTACTGAAATGTGAACTTTACTCATGAGTCATCTCCTAATGTAGCACCCGATATTCAATTTAAATACAAAAATGCAGGTCTAAGCTGCATAGTAGTTTGTCTCTAGCATAGATTGAGGCAAGACAACCAAATATCAACCATCGTATTATTTCCTTTTTTCATGGTAGACCCCCATCCCACGGAAACCCCACCACCCCCCAGCCCAGGGGTCAATGGTGGTCTTTTTCCAATTTGATCCTCTTGCGACTCAAACATCCAACCTCTTGATTGAAAGTGGAGTGCTCTTGCCACTAGAACAACTCCTCACCTATCACCAAGCATCTTTTTTTCCTTTTCTTTTCCCTCACTTCCTCCAAAATTGTGACAAGGCTCCATGCAAGCTCAAAGGTGGTAAGTAGTTATACCATCAGCTTCGTTTCTAGGTTCCCCAGAATATAAATTCACATCCATCTTTCTTGACAGACGTCAAATTAGCTTCATCAGAATAACTAAATCAAAATAGAACAGCTATTGTAGACCAAAATAATGAGCTAAATGTACCTCGTCTACAACAGCATATGGTGGCATATCTAACTTGGTGATCTCATAGAAACCAATTCGAAGAATCTAACAACATTTTCAAAGCAAAAGTCAGTTGAGAGGGATTATAAATGACCTAGCAAAATTCAAAGGTTAAAAAGACATAACGCAGAAGGGAAGAAAAGAGAGAACTCAGGTCCAACACATTTAATTTCCCAAGTAGTCTTATCAATGTCAAGCACTGCAGTGCCCATACAGATGAAGTGCTTAACTCAAACAATATTCACCAATTAATAGGATAGACCACCATATTGCATTAGCATTTCAGCCTCTGAGATGTGCTTTCTTTAGCATTGAGCATACACCTATTTGCCTCATATGTTATTTAGATTTTAAAGCTTATCACTATGTATTTCTAAATAGAAAATAAATGCTCCGGTAATGTATACTCCATTGGAGTGATAGCCATATTGACTATGACCTACCAATGCCACACGAAATAAACCATTCGGGCATAATGACATTCTAAATCTCGCAAGTACATTATGCTTGACAGAACCTCATCAGCCAACATGTATACTAACCATTGTTTAGATTAAGAAGGCGTATTGTAAGTCAAAGATTGCATTCTATCATCATCATTCATTCACATTAATTTTTGTTCTAGGTGGTTGATACAACTCATAAATTTCTTAAAAGGCATATTTGCCAAGATAACCTTGTTTCATAAAGGAACTCCATAGTGCTCCTCTTTTCCTCTTTAGTTTTAATAATTAATTTCACATGGATGCTATTTTAGAGGATTCTCCAAGAATTAAACCATCGATGAAATAACTTTGTTGAAAAAGAAATTTATGACTACTCCTTTAGTTTTGGTACTTAATAATTTAAATCAAATAGATGCTATTTAAGAGGTTCTCCAATACTTAAACCATGGCAACAAAATATATTCTACTGGATGCTCTAACAGGAAAGAACCCAAAAACAGTACTCCCTCCGGTCCAAAATAAGTGATTTTTTGGATGTTTTCACACAGATTAAGAAATCTACCTTTTAGCATTAATTAGCAATAGAATTGACCATATTAACCTTTACTATCTCACATAAACACTCCTAACACATATTCCAACATTATTTACTCCAAGGACAATGTAGGAAAAAAATAATTAATTCATTCTTGAAATCTGGAAAAATCACTTATTTTGGACCGGAGGGAGTAGCAAATATACCTGCAATAGAAGAGGTTCCATGCTTCTGAATGTACTCTCATCATGGCATAAAGAAAGAATCAAGTGATCAAGATATCTTCTCCAGCGAATGGTACCTCCAACAATCTCTGTGACCTACAACATAAATATTTCAAGAAAACCATAAGTACAAGTGATCTGATATTGTGATGGGAAAGAGAATCTTTAGAAAAAAAATGTGAAAATTCATAAGTGAATTAGAAGACAATCAATGACATGGTAGTAAAGAAATGGCCAAGAGAGAAATAAACCAGTCTTAAATCTCTGTCTTCTAAGTGACGAGTGTGAAATCCAAGAGTTCTTTCAACATATCCCATTTCATTCTCCCCTGAACCCTTCCCTTGCTCATTCAGAAGATCAGCAAATGCACCACCCAGCTCTATGCGCATTAATCTCACCGCAGACACTGTAAAATAGACACGTGACATGAAAATAAGAACAAATAAACAGCAACTGAACAAATTTCTTAACACTAGTAAGAAAATGTCAATTAAATGCAAAACGGAATCAACTTTACAATCCGATAAGCAAATTAAAAAGTTGAAATTACAGTGGCTTACCAGCTCTATGAGGAGAAACTTCCAAATTCAGCTTCTGTGTATTCCTTGGAGGACTGCCTGAATCTTGACATAAAAATTCCCGAGTAAATCCAGAAAAGGGGCAGAACTTGAAGTTAGCCTTAAGGAATTAACTTAGATAGACACACTACAACAAGAACAATAACTACGCCGAAATCCCAAAAGTTGGGGTTGGCTATATGAATCCTCACTGATCATGTGACTTCATTTAAACTCGGGAAACTTACACAAATGTCCCAAATAAATCTCAACTTACCAACCTCTAGCCATTAGTCATAGACTTACCAAAACTAGCCTAACAAAAATTGAAAAACCAAATAATAGGGTTCTTTCTCTCAAAGAATCACATGCAAAAATCACCTTCCATATTTTTAAGCGTGATTAGCAACATTAGATACAAGACGGAAAGGAAATTTCATGGACGGGGTAGCAAATAAGGTGATGAAATACAAAAATCTATACAATATTCCAAAAATCTAAACAAAAAAGGAACTTTTTCAATGGGTATAGTTGAAATTCATTGAAAATATATAGATAAGCCAATATACAAAATTTGAGGAAGATTGGAGGTGATTTGGACTGGTTTTGTATCAAAATTCGTAATTAAATGGAGTTCAAAAAAGTCTTCTGCGACACATGTATCAAACATGTATCACGCATGTATCTCACACACAGGTATACATGTGATACACAATTGATACAAATATGATACATGTGTGATACACAAATGATACATAGTGTGATACACATCTCATTTTTTTCATATTCAGCTTTTACTTCGAATTTTCAATTCAAACCACCTCAAAACTTCACCAAATCATCCCAAAACTGAGATTCAAGCTCCTTAAGTTGTGCCCAATCTATTCTAATAACACCCACTCAAAACAAAGCAAAAATTTGATATTTTTTTGCTACAAATAGCTAATTGGCTAATATTAGTAATATTTTATCAATTGGCCAATTTTTGTAATGAGCTACTTATAAATGGACATAGCTGGTAATTTGTCTTTAAACTCATCCCATGCCAATATTATATAGAATAAAGAATTTTTTTTTAAAAAGTACTAGAAGTCTTTATATTTTTTTACTGATACATCAATTAGGCAAATGAAAGCATTTTCTTTTTGTTTTTCTACTTATACAGTTTTGCCAGTTTTTCTGTCAACTACCCAACTGTTAGTGCTGGAATGAAGATGCTACTTACCTGTTTTTCGGCTGATTTTCTTTGGAAATTTGACTTGTTTAGCGGAATGGGACTCATAAGAAGAAGTTGCAGAGAGCTTTGCAAAATGGAGTATCCGGCCCGAAAGCAATTGGGGCAGTGAAGGCATAATTGTATGTCTGAAGGAAGACGCCGGAGAATTGGATGTTTGCATCATTGTTTACTGTAACAAAAATTGAACCGAATAGTCTGTGGATACTTCAGTGACTATTTGTACTCATCTCTCTTTTTGATAAGCCACGCCTTTAACGAACTAGTGACTTGTGGATTTAGTTACTGTAATGTATTGTTATGAGCATGATAAATGAATAATGAATTACTATAAAATACTCCCCATTTCTATTTGTATGAATAATTGACTTATTATGGAATTTAAGAAGATTTTTATATATATGATGTAAATATGTGTGTGTATATATATTGTAGAATTTTACGGTATATATTACTAGTTTGCACTCTTGGTTTGTACTAATTCTTTGCCTTTATGGTAATCTAGTGATTTGCATTTTCTAGTTTGAATTGTAGTCTTTATTTTATTAAGTCCAAGAATCTATTTCACGTTATAAATAACTTGTCTATAATTGAGTCCTTAAGTTACGTATATTTATCTATTTAAATCAATTATTATCATGATATCTTGATAAATGACATATTTATCTTAAAGAATAATTAATTTGATAGTATTATGTACGTAGGAATATCGACACTGGAATATGCGTTTTATCAGTATATATCTCGTATTTAAAAAATCCATCAAAAATTTAAATAAAAACAAAAAACCGACAAAAATCGAATTATAAAACTGGGTTTAATTGGTTCCAATATTTAACAACTCGACTTAATTGGTTTACTTTCTTTCAGGAGAAAACGATCCAAATCGAACTATGAACCCTGATAAACGGCTAAAAATATATATTTTTCGGTGTACTTTCATCTCATAACTTGTGTGGTTATGCTAGGTTACATGAGTTTTTATAGTGAATTATGCTTATTACGTGCATTCTTATGTGTAGGAGCAAGTTGAACGAAATTTGAGCAAAAGAAGTTGATTCGGGACCAAAAGACAAAAGAAGGACTTTGCTCGTTCACTCTCGCGTGCACACAAGAGAGTGCACGAGCTACAGAGGAAAAGCTTGTAAAAAAACAACGGAGTATAGCAAAAGGCATGGAAGTGCACAAGAGACCTAGAAGAAAAAGAAAAAGAGAGAGAGAACGAGCTAACTTAAAAAGGCTATTTCGAAGTGGGCTTGTATTATTTCACCCCATGCTAACCCTAGCCCATATAAATAGTCTTTAAACTCACTTTTTCGGGGAGGAGGATGTTTTGGAGACAGACTTTGGACCAAGAGAGAGCACAGAACCGCCGTGGAGGCCGGAATTCATCAGATTCCATCTTTCTTCCATCAAACTTAGTAATCTTATGTTTCTTTGGATGAATTGTTGTTTTGCTACCAGGTCTATGTGGAGCTAAACTTTGCGTTCTAGAGTTGTGGTTGTCATGAATATTGAAGTTTATTAATTATATTACCGTTAATTCGAGTTATCATCTTTGGTTGTTTCTCTAATTCTGTGCATAATTGCTTAATTGTTTGGCTAGCAGTTGAGTTCTATTTACTATATATGCTATGCTTGGGAAAGCCGTATTTAGATTAGAGTAGAATTAGAGAGAGCTTGTTTCTGAACCCATGGATCGGGAAAAGATTTCGCGGTTAGGATAGGAATATACCTAACAGTCTTGCTTAGTTGAATATCGTATTATATTCGTTCATGATAGATTCAAGAGTATATGAATATAGAGTTGATATATTGTGGATAGACGGATAGGATTGTGGGAACATACTATTTATATAAACGATCCGGTCAACTAGCAATCATAGATAATTTGGATTAACAGGTGTAGTTACGAACTTAATAGGATTGATAAACCGACCACAACCCTAGAATCTATGTCTCCCTTGGTTACGTGTTTAAATTTCGCAATAGTAGTAGTAATAGAAAAATCAAACTTTTGATTATCCTGGACATTAAATTGATTTTAGTTTGCTTAGTTAAAGGTTAATCTAAGTCTCTGTGGGTTCGACATCCGACTTTCGAGTCATTATATTACTTGACGGCCACGTATACTTGCGTGTACTTGGGGAACCAACAAGTTTTTGGCGCCGTTGCCGGGGACTTAATTATTGATTGTTTATCTAAATTTAGCTTTTAGTTGATTTTTGTTCATGTTTTTAATTTATTTATTTAGTTAGTATTTTCTTTTCTTATGTTGAGATGGCATATTGGAATGAAAATTATTTGAATGATAATTTTGTTAGTGGATATATATATACACGTGTAGATTCATTTTACAGAGGAATAAAATCATTTTCTGCTTCATTCATATGCAAAAATCATCTTTCTAGAACATTCATCCTCTCATTGGGTCGCTAGCCCTAAATTCTCCATTGTTGTGCTCCAACTCAAGCTCGAGCACACAGAAATTCACAAGTAGGAGCAACTCCCCCAGAAAACTTTAAATTTAAATGTGTACACATAAAATCCGAACATTTGATCAACCAACTGATCTTCTCCTCATTAGTTAGTTGAACAAAGCTAGAATAAGAAAATGTACATCATGGAAGTTGGCAACAGCTTAAAACAGACGGAGGAAATGAAAGTTTCAACTTCTTCTTATATTATTTGTACCATAACGCGCAACCACTACAACAAAAATCAGTACACTCGGGCCCCTTCGGAAACCATCTTTATCAGTATTTTATGGACAAACCATAGAATGGTCTCACATTGCATCCAAGTTGTTCAACTACTTCTCCTCAATTTTGCCGTTCACCCTTTAGGGTGAGATCCAGATAATGTAGCCTGAGAATTCCTAGATCCGAGGAAATGCGGATATTTAGTTGCATGAGAATTGAGGCTTTAAATGAATCTCCATGCATATAATGTGGCTGGGTACAAATATAGTAAATGAATGGGGGGAAAAGCGCAAAATGTCAAATCAAAACATCAAAGTAAAATGGAAAACTTTGTTGAAAGATCAACAAATACAAAAGAGCAGAGTAACTAAGACATGAAAACAAAAATGAAAGAAAGAAATGAATAGCTTACCCAAAAAGAGCTAGTTGTCTATGTTTTAGATCTTCTCTCGATCTCTACTATGATTCCTAGATTCAAATTCTTCCTGTAGGGCATTTGTTATCAGGCTCAAACACTTCAGCAGCTCTTTTGTTGCATATCCTCTTTTCAGTAGTACTGCAGTATCAAAAAATGTATGAGAAAGAGTGATTGAATTTATAAGATAGAAACTACATAACATGCAAACCTGTCAGCTTGACACTCTTCTGCCTTCCTTTCCTATACTGCACACTTTGCGATAACTGGAACTAGGGACCCGCATCTATGTAATAACTTTTTCTCCCGTTAGAAGACGAGCATCGGTTGGTCCAAACCCACACGCAAGTGGTCGAAAAGTAATAAAGTGATAATAAAGTATCGTTCCCACGAGGATTTATGATCAGTTATTTTTCAATCTAAGCTATTTATATCTTTAATGCTCAAGTGAGTGTGAAAAAGATGATTGTGATTTTTATAATTAAATTACTATGACTAATTAGCAAGCAAGAAAATAAGATCCCAAGTAGAGAAAACAAACACTTAGAAAGAATTCAATGAGATGGGGATATTCCAGGGTTATGAGATTATCGTCTATCCTATTGCGTTTTTCGGGTTGATGTAATCATTTGACTTATCTAATTTGTTGATTAGAAGGGTTTATTTTGCTCGCGAAGTTCTTTTGACGCTTCGCTCGCCTATTCAAGCCAACCTAAGACTATATATCTATAGAATCAAACTTGACACTAACACATGTATATTTCCTGCAAAAATAACTAAGTAAGGCAACTAGAATATGTCTATCCTAATCGTGAATCAATTCTTCGATGTCCGGATTCAAGAACTTATTCTATTCAATCTTATATGCAATTTATAGTTCCCACTTTCGAGTTCAACTATAAATTCGTAGATAGTACTCTATTATTAGCTACACAATAGAATAATTAAGTGCAAGATTGAATAACAAATTAATATGATAAAATCAAGCAAAACAATCAACCATCAATTTACAATAGTCAAGAACGACCCATAACCCTAGAATAATAAGGTTCTTAGCCACTCATGTTCATAACAATCATCAAAATATTATTTTCAAACATAAAAGCTATAAATACTAGAAGAAGAATAGAAGAATAGAAGAATTGATGAATTCCGTGCTCACGAGTGTTTCGTACTTGTGTTTCTCTCTCAAAGTTGCATTCCCCCTCCATAATAGGTTTAAGTTTGCTTTTATATGAGTTTGGGGCATCTTGGGGTCGAAATAATAGAGTCCAGGGGAACTAGGACAGATTCGCGTCGCTAGCGCCCAAGGTAGCGTGGGGCGCTAGCCCTGTCTCTGGCCGTTTGGGAGATTCTATTTTGTGCGCCACAGATAGCGCCCCACGCTGCCTGTGGCTCTACACTGTGGCTTTTTTCCTTTTCTTCCCCTTTTTGTTTCAATTCGCGCACCTTCTTCCCAAATTGCCGAATGATTCCTATACATAAAAATACCACATATTAGCATAAATCATTACATTACACATTTCGAAATTTACGAAACATGAGTAGAATGCGAGGCAATATGCATATAAATATACATATTTTAAGCCGAATATCAACATCTCCGTAGCTTTAGTCTTGATTGGATTCTTAATTAGGACATTGCATCCAAATTAAACAGATATAGATTCTGCAAGGCACTTAATATTCACTAATCATAGGAATTGAAGCAGTGGCGGATCTAGAGGCTATAATGCGGGTTTTCAGGAACCCAGTAGTTTTTGTCCAGACTTGTAAGATTTATTAAAGATCTATAAATATTTCATTGTGAATCCAATTATTAACTTGAGATCACTGTAGGAACTCATAAACTTTAAGTCCTGCATCACAGGAAGTTCATGGGTTCCTTCTCTCTTTTTGAGCTTCTTGTAGTGTATTTTTGAAGGATCCAACACAGGTGCAACATCAACTTTTGAAAGTCCGAGCAACATAGTCGATAAGTGGCATCTCATGCTGGTTGTCTCCTCTCCATTCCCAACATCCCACCCCATCCCCCGCCCCTTACTCCCATTCCCCACCCCTCACTCCATCGTTTCCATCCCGACCCCCCCCCCCCAACCCCACCCCACCATCCACACACATAGTATATGCCTAGATTGTATATAAGTATTCTTGGAAAATATTTTCTCCTTACTTACCAAACACTAAAATATACGTAATAAAACCACTTACTTTTCAGGAAAAATTTTCCAGGGAAAACATTTCCCTTCATACCAAACACGCCCATAGAAGGTATTTTTTTCTCTATTTATACGTGTTCCTTTTCTTTCTTCTTCTTTTTTTGTCTGGCAATTGCATTGCTATGTTGATCATTCAGACCAGAGGCGGACTCAGGATTTAAACATTGCGGGGGCACCATTATCTTTAACGTAAATATGAAAATAATATCAGTTACAATATAGTCTGGCGTTCAACTATTTGAAAACATAGTGATTACGATTTCGTGGCAAAAAGATGTTCAAAATTTAAAAATTTAAATAAAATCAAGACTAATAAAGGTCTATAAGCAGTCCAAAAAGTCTCAACCGACGTCGCAGAGTCAACGGATACTTGCTACTTTGCCAAAGTAAACGTTGAAGGAAGAAGGGTTTTAGTTGTCTTTATTTTTTTAAAATGAAATAATAATAAAAATTGGTTAGAGATAAAGATTATAGACTAATGGAACTAGTTAATGAAATATTTTACCCTCCTTTCCTACTGTCTTTATGTCTCCATATTAACTTTTCAGAGTCTAGAAAGATGTATCTCCAATGGAGTTTTTGACTATTTTATGTAGAAGATATGAAAAACTAATAGTGAAGAGAAGTTGAGTTTTGGAGCTTAGATGGAGAGATTTTAAAAGAAAAAAATAAACTAAGTGACTTCTATGTACTAGTACTAAATTAATGTTTGAATTACAAAATAAATACACCAAGTTGACTACTAAATATGGAGTACTAAACTATCGTTCAATTAAAAAAGGAAAAAAGAAAGAAATGGTGAAGTAACGATGATGTGGGTCTCGATCCTGGGTCTAGGAGCAAGGGAATGGAACTTTAAAAGCCCGCTGAACCAGTACAACGACGGAGCGATTTGTTCTTTTGGGGGCACAATTAAATTATTATAGGGGTCCTCGACATATATACAGTAATATATACATAGTTTTTCCCGAGCCTATAGGGTGCCAGTGACCTCTCACCTCTCCACGTGGGTCCGCCCCTGATTCAGGCTAGTAATAAGCACAAGGAAGATAGTTTCCGGTTAAAAACAGATAAGGTTTCTAAATCCACATGCTCAACTGATAATAGAAACAACAATTGCTTCAGCAGCATAATAAGGCGCGTGAATTATAAAAATTAATTACCTCCAGATATCTGTATCAAGGTTCATATTTGCACTAGGCTCCATTATCAATTTATCACCATCTAACAATAATAGTAACACTATTACCGTATTCCGGCCAGACAGTAATCGTAACTGAAGCAAATTGATAATTTAGCATTTTAGCTGTATTATAAAATTCTAAAATTTTCTCAGTCAGCAAAAAGAACGAAAAATAAGATAAAATAAACAGTATTGGGGTTTATGTTAAAGCCTAGAATCACAGCTGGGTTTTTACAAGTGTGTGATATTTACACTTGCACCCTTGAGGTTTAGGAAATAGCACTCCGGCCTCTTTAGCTATGCTTTGGAAAAGAGTCGGGACATTTGCTTTTTATAAACACTTTTTGGCTTTATAAAGTTCCATTCCAATACAATTCAGCTGTCAGTACCATTTTCCATTTGGCTTCTGCAGAATGTAACACAAAAACAGTACCGCTACACCGAAAGTCAAAAACAAAATTAACCATTGACGCGATGCGTTTGCGGTTTAGAGCTTTCTCTCAAATGGGGTTCTCTAGAAAAGTTCGCACAGCAAATAATTATCCAGTGAACACCCACGCAGCAAGTACTTTTCGCCCCTCTCCCTTGTTCTCTTCTTCTTTTAATTTTTTTTGTCATGTATATGTTTTTATGTTTATATATATGTGTGAACAGGTGAAAAAATGGAGAAGAGCATCTACACTATTTTAACCCTGGACCGTTGGCACTCGCTCAATCATATGGGGTATAAAATGGCTTCACTGAGGCCAATTCATGGGAAGTTAGCTCTGAAATTTTTGAACTGGTTTATTAAGCAACCCGGTTTAGAATTCAGTCACATTATTCATATGTATGGTATAACTACCCACATACTCGTTAGAGCTAGAATGCATGACTATATTAAGTCAATTTTGAGGCATTTATCTGACATTGGTGTTACGCCAAGTTCTGTTTTTGAGTCTCTTATGGATACATATCGTCTTTGTAGTTCGAACCCTTCTGTTTTTGATATTTTAATTAGGGTTTATGTGAGAAAAGGTGCACTTAAAGATGCTCTTCAGATTTTCCATTTGATGAGTTCTCGAGCATTTAAACCGTCGGTTTACACTTGTAATATGCTCTTAGCTGCGATGGGGAAGCAGCAGAATGCTGAGTGTGTATGGTCGTTTTTCAAAGAAATGCTTGCTAAACGTGTTTGCCCTAATGTTGGTACATTCAATATACTTTTACAAGTTCTTTGTGCCAAAGGAAAGGTCGAGAGAGCGAGTTATTTGCTTGCAAAGATGGTAGAGAGTGGTTATAACCCTGATGTGGTTACTTATAATACTTTGCTTAATTGGTATTGCAAAAAGGGCAGGTATAAAGCAGCTTTAGAATTGATCGATTGCATGAATTCTAAGGGTCTTGAGGCTGATGTTTGTACGTACAATATGTTTATAGATGACTTATGTAGGAATAATAGGAGTTCGAAAGGTTATTTAGTATTGAGGAAGATGAGGAAGAGATTGATTGTTCCGAATCATATCACTTATAACACTCTTATTAACGGGTTTGTGAAAGAGGGTAAGATTGATGTTGCAATGAAGATTTTTCATGAGATGCTGACATTAAATCTTTCACCAAATTGTATCACTTTCAATGCTTTGATTGATGGGCATTGTCGAGCAGGAAATCTTAAAGAGGCTCAAGAAATGCTGAATGAAATGGAGCTAAGAGGTTTAACGCCCAATGAAGTTAGTTATGGGGCTCTCTTGAACGGTTTCTGCAAGCATGGCATATTAGATTCTGCAAGAAATATCCTCAAGAAGATGAAGTTTGATGGATTATCTCCTAATCATATTGCATATACAATGTTAATAGAAGGGATGTGCAAAATGGGGTTACTTGGAGAAGTTGTACCTTTACTTGAGGAAATGTTTGAGAGGGGTATATGTCTTGATGTTGTTGCATACTCAGTGCTTCTAAATGGATTTTGTAAAGCTAGAATGCTAAATACAGCAATGGAAATATTAAGTAAGATGTACAGGTTTGGAGTTTTTCCAAACGATGTGGTATACTCTACTTTGATCTACAACTTCTGTAAGCAGCAAGATCCCCTAAAAGCAATCAGAGTCTATGCAATGATGCAAAAATCAGGCCATATTCCTAACACTTTCATATGCAACTCACTAATATCTTCTCTTTGTACATGTGGAAGAGTAAGAGAGGCAGAGGATTTCATGCGTCACATGCATAAGATTGGTCTTGTTCCCAGTTCTATTGCTTTTACTTCTGTTATTGATTGCTACGGAAGTGTAGGTGAAGGGTTAAAAGCACTATCCTGGTTTGACGAAATGATTAACTTGGGTAGTCAGCCTAGCTTGTACACCTATGCAAGCTTACTTAAGGGAATATGCAGAGGAGGAAACCTTACAGAGGCACTTGGATTTTTTGATAGACTCCGTGGAATTTGCTGTGCTACAGATGTTGTTGTCTACAACTCATTGCTGGCTGAGCTCTGTAAGTTAGGCCACTTCCACATGGCATTAATCCTTATTGATGAGATGGTTCAGAATAACGTGCTCCCTGATAGTCATACATACACCAATCTCCTAGCTGGCTTGTGTGGGAAGGATAAGTTGGTTGCTGCAATTCTTCTGTTGGGAAGAGCATTAAATAGAGGAAACCCCTCTTCAAACCAGGTCATGTATACGTGTATCATTGATGGTCTTTTCAAGAGTGGCTTGCCTAAGGTTGCCCATTACTTCTATGATGAGATGACAAGGAGTGGACTTACCCCAGATACAGTGGCACTGAATGTGATGATGGATGGTTACACAAAACATGGTCAAATGGATAAGGTTAGCAGTTTCATTTCTACAATGAGACAGAGAAATCAAATGCCTTCCTTGGCTACATACAATATTCTATTACGAGGCTACTCGAGACAGAAAAACATATCTGAGTGCTCTAAGTTATATCAGTCACTTAGAAAAAAAGGTTTTGCTCCAGATAAATTAACATGCCATTATGTGATTCGTGGACTCTGTGAGTCGAGCCTGCTGGATATTGGAGTTAAGTTTATGATAAAGATTATTGTGGGAGGAACAGTGGCAGATAAATTCACATTCAACATGATTATCAGTAAATATAGTGAAAGGGGTGAGATGAAGAAGGCCCTTGATCTACTTACTTTAATGACTGCCGTTGGTGTTTCTCCTGATGGAGACACTTACAACTCAATATTTAAGGGACTGAAAAGAACATTGGACTTCGAAAATTCACGTCGTCTCTTGCATAAAATGTTCGAAGAGGGTTTCATCCCAATTGACAGACAATATAGTAATCTAATCACTAGTATGTGTAAAGTTGGAGATGTAAAAGGAGCATTCAAAGTAAAAGATGAAATGGAGTTGTTAGGTGTTAGTTCCCGTAATGTAGCTGAGGGTGCGATTATACGGGGGCTTGTGCATCGTGGGAAGATGGAGGAAGCAATGCTGGTACTTGAATGTATGCTTCGGGTGCATCTAATTCCAACTGTTGCCACGTTCACAACTGTTATGCATGGACTTTGCAAAAGTTCTAAGGTCTCTGAGGCCTTAAAATTGAAAGCGACAATGGACCTTCATGGTGCAAAGCCAGATGTTATTGTTTACAATGTCCTGATAACAGGCCTTTGTGCTGGTGGCTGTATTGATCATGCGTTTGATCTCTATGAGGAGCTGAAAGAGAGGAGTCTGTGTCCCAATGTTACAACTTTTACAGTTCTTGTCAATGCCGTCTGTTCTGCAAACGATCTTGCAAAGGGTGAAAGTCTTCTAAGTGATCTGCAAGAGAGAGGATTGGCAGGTGAATATTCAAGCACCGAAGCCTTATGTGAAAGATTGACAGTCGTGAGAGAGAAGCTAAATGCTTTAAGAAAGAAGAAAAAGAAAAGAAGATAAGTATTGCTGTAGAAAGACGAAAAGCTGATCAATTTAACACTGGGAACATTTATCTTGCTTGCTGGAGATAAGGTCTCCATGGCGGTCGGTCTCTAACTTAAACCAGCTTCAATAATTGAAATCAGGCTATCTGTTACATCTGCAGCTTGAACTTTGGTCGCTTCTACCTTTTGAAGGCTATTTCTGCGTTTGATATCCTTTAAGATATCCGTCATACAAGGTGGTTATAAGAATTATTCTGCAGTTCACGAGGTGGTGTACTGTATACCGACACTGATCTGTCAGAATAGGTATTTGGCATTCCTTTGTTTATTCTGTTTTAATGCACTAGGGCTGTCTAGTGAGCTTCATCTGCAGTCTGTTCAATTAATTTGTTTCGGCTTATTGCTTGGCCTTTATGTTTGGATTACTTCTGCAGCTTAAGTGCTCACAACAGGTGAATATTGTGGCTAGGTTAGCCGAAAGATGGTTATCGGTTCAAGAACGTAAGGTGTCCCTGCTTTGTCAGGGTAAGAAGGGGTAGAGAAAATGCCTTGAGCCAATGTTCGAATACCAGGCGCTACGGCGCTGAAGTAACCCATGCCATACTCCCAGGAAAAGCTGGAACGACTTTGAGTTGAAATCTTGCATAAATCACAGCGGAGCTTCAGCATTACTATAAAGAAGGCCAATTGTGAAACATAGGTAAAAGAGTGCGCTTGAACTGTTCAGCATTAATGTCTAGAAGTATCTATCTGATGCTTTAACTTATTAGTTTCTTTTGCAAATTTCACAACCAGTACTGTCCATATGACAGCAAATTGCAATAGCATAGCTGAAACTTTTTCCATCTTTGAGACTAAGAGTTTGCAGAATATTCTTGTTATAATTTGGTCTATGCAGGTGCTGTTCTCCGACTCTCTGCTAAAGTTCGAACAAATCCTGCATCCACTGACTTTCTGAAGTAGAGATAAGGTATCTTCAATTGTTGTTGATCATAATCCTATTCAATATATTCTCCCCTTCTTGGTTATTTGAAGTCAGATCATTTGGGTGACTCTGGTCAGGTATTTGACAGTTCATTAGCATGACATGCTCTACTGGTGACAAGCTTTTTCTTGTAGCTCGTTTCTCAACACCTCTGTCCAAAACATAATAAGGAAAAAAAGGCAGGTCATATGGAGATGATGTGGATGGATCATCAGGAAACCATTTATGGACTTAATTACCTTGGAGACTGCATTCTCCAGACTTTTTGAAGCCAGTTTATAACAGATCTCCTTTTTAAGTTAGTCTTTTCTTAAACTACATTTTGTTTTGAGAACTGTGAGTTTCCACTGTTCTAACTGGTTGTCATTCTGTTTTCACCTAGGACTGGTTGAGTATCGGAGTATTGGATGCTGAGAAGTCATGATCTTAAAGGTCATGATATACGATCATCAGCCCCAGCTTGTTCTCGATTTGCAGGAAGATGAACTCAGTAGCAATGGCAGCTGCACTTCTCCTCAGACAGTTTACTGAGACCCCATCATATCTGCAAATTCTCAACAAGGCAGCTCGATATATGGTGTACCGCAACATCTTTAACATATGTAAACCTAATAATGAAGGCATGCAGCTGGATAAAGGTGTGGGTCATCAACTTGCAGCCATATCTGAGGCAATAGGAGGAAGTCTGGCGGAGAGATAAAATGTGAAATGCCCATTTGCTTTAGCTTATTTTCTTTACTAGGTTGGCTCGGCCCGTGCCGGCACGGGCCCAACAAAGTAAGTAGACGATATTGTATGCTAATTGGTAGATGACTATTTACATATGGTTTTGATCAAAATATACATTTACATACATGAGAGCGTCAGATTTAGGGATGCTTAAAGTACCACAGTAGTTACAATTTACATATTAGCAAAAAGAGATGCTATGTGTGCGGTGTTTGGTCTTCTTTCTGGTCTTCTTTTTAGTAGTTCTTTACCAAAAATGGCTGCAAAAAAATAAATATGTTATATTTGATAGTCAAAGAAAGCCAACATATTTTCAAGACAAATAATGTGTTGCTAAGTTAGTAATAAATGGCCAATCAGTAAACATAGAAAATTATATCAGAAAGATTATGGAAGTATTATAGATGCATAGTAGAGTAGAGACTAAAAATGGAAATCCACAATTCCTTATAATTTATTGAAGGGATTGCAGTAGTCCAGAAAGAAGTGGCAAAAATGAAGTTAACTGCATTCAAAAACAGCAATACCAATACAGGAAAATATGTTAAAAGTCCTACAATATACACATAGTATACAAAATGCAAATATAGAGAACACAATAGGTTTGGTCGAATAAAGTGTATTATAACAACTGAACTTCAACTCTTATTCCTTTAGATTAATGTCTAACTCCAAATGCTAACTCCAACTGAACTTTTTACTATATATGCATCAAGGACTTCAATCACCTCGAGCTAAGTTTTTATAGCCTAGAATTGTTTCCACTCCTCCCTCAAACATAACAATTTACTAGTTACGATTCCACTTTGATCAGCCAAATGTATTTAAAGCAGTACAACTCACATACTGCAAAGGACATATTAGCAAAAGGAACCACTAAGTAAGTTGTAAATATAAATCTGATATTTAGGAACAGCCAAAAGAAGAAAACAAAGCTATGTGTATATATATATATATATATATGTGTGTGTGTGTGTGTGTGTGTGTGTGTGTGTGTGTGTGTGAAAGTAACCTTTTCTAGTTTCATCAGTTTCATTTGTAACCTTTTCCGGGTTATTCCTATTTTCTGTTTCATCAATTCCATTCCCTTAATGAACTATTTGCCTAATCTTTTGACAAATAAGCTATATGTTGCTAACATGAAGTGATGTAAGTGTAGCATGAACGGTTACAAAGTTTTATGACAAATCCACTAATTAATGGTGAGGTAGGTAATAATAAATTAGTGGATTTAAGGCTATCTTTATCTTGCAATCAGCTAGAATTCTCGTTTAAACTAAATGCTATGTAATCAAATCAACAACCAACACAATCAGACTATATGAGTAGGTCATTTGCATAATGGTAGCCTTCAATCACAAGTTTCACAAGGTTTCAATGGATTCTCCTTAGCCATCCCTTTCAAAGCAGTAAGTTAGCAAAAGTCAGAAATATGCTAGAAATAGAATTTAGCCCCCAACATAAATGATATTCATGTGACAATCAGAAGCTAACCAAGCAAGCATGTTATTTTCACATAACCATTAAGCTTGTGCAAGGAATCAAACTGAAGTAATGTAGTAAAAATATCATCTCTGTATAAATTAAATGGAGTTTTCCCACTGGCATGTACATATCTGAGTTGTCAGTTTTGGTACTCTCAATTCAATTAGGTGCTCCAAGAAAAAACAGACAATGTAGAGCTTTCAGATAAACAGATAATGGTACAGTAAAATTAGAGATTGTTTACTCTTTATATCCAAACACGCACCCAAAGGAGAATGAATACTGAAACGATCAAGTTTTTATTCTCGAATGATAGGGAGTGCAAGAGCTATGTAGCACAAAACATTCTTTTGCCCTCAATTACAGCTATTGTGTTATTCGACTAATTCCTAGTGTTGTGAAGAGCGTGAAGCAAGGAAAAGTGACAGGCCTCTCCACGCTTAAAGCGTGAAGCCAAGCGCGCGCTTTCTTTGAAAAAACGGAATTTTTTTAAAAAAACCAATCATAGTTTTTAAGGTTGTATAAAATCAACAACAAAGCTCATGTTAGCTTTTGCTAGAATGCTAATGGGTGCTCCAGGATCAATGCAATTACTTTATCGTTCCTGTTAAATACTACTTTCTCGTTCTAGCGATAGGCTCCAAGCACGATTCTTATTCTAAATTTTACTTTCTGTTTTGGAATGAATCAGTTATCCTAGAAATATGGCTAAGAGGCAAAAATAGTGGCCAAATCGCAGGTACAATAGAGGCCGAAAACCAAAGAGCAAATAGAGAAACCCAAAAAATGAAATAGAAATTATTGACCAGAGGGAGAAATAGTTCAGCAAACAAAACAGGGATTGTGAAAATATGAAATGAAGAGTTATTAGTAAAACCAACTGAAGACCTAGAAGAGTGCTCAACTTTGTTCCTCTTCCACATGTTTTATCACTTTTTTCCAATTTTTTTGGTCAGATTTGGGCATGGATTAATAGAGCTGAAATTTTTCAGTAGGGTTTACCTAAAAATGGCCGAGAAAACTCCAGCACTATAAACTTCAAATTATTTATCAATAATATCAAGAAGCGAAACCCTAAGATTATTCATTAATAAGCAAACAGACAAAAGATCACCATTTATCGGAACTTCAATCGTTGGGATCGTCAAATCCATGCACTGGTGAATTCGTGCTAGCAAGAAAAATCGAGGAAAGCATTGAAGGATTCTAGAGAAAGACGTTGAAGATAGAAGGATTAGCTAATTAAGCTCGACCATGGCGATGAAGAAAGAGAGGAGAGGACCATGAAAAAGGGAGATGAATCAGAGCAACGATGGCCAAATGATACGTGGCTACTCAGTTTCATGGTAAGGCCACATTTCATTAGGTGATCTGAAAAGACAACAATATCCTTAAATTTTCTTTTCTCCATTTAGTTACAATTCGTTTGTGTTTCTCTCAAAATCTGAATGTAAAATTGCAACAGAACCAATGAATAGAGTCTTGTTAAGGTAATTTTACATATACAACTGAAATCAGGAAAAGGTACAAGTTAGGCTAGAAGTAGCTCATTCCTTCTCCTATTCAATAAGGGAAAACTTTACCGGCTACAACTGCACCGGGAACGAAAACTGTCTATCCCCATTCCCTGTTTCTGTCTAAAGAGACGTGCTGTTCCTAATCTAGTGTTTAAAAGTACGCCATATTAATCAACCCATGAACAAACACCTAAAATTTTCTTTCTCTTAATTAGACTTAATACCTAAACCAGTATCATCAATGAACAGAAATTTGTATGCGGGTTAAAACTAATAGAAAGAGCAAAAGAAGGAGAAATAAATACCGAAGTACAAAATTGAAGTTCAAGAGGGCACAGAAGTATGAACAGAACCGGTGAAACTTGAGCAAGATCTGTAAAACTATAACCAAAAATTTCTTCTTTCAATTTAGGTTTAATACCCATACCAATATCATCAATGGACCGGAAATCTCAACAAAAAAAATTGCATGTTGGATGAAACTAATTAAAAAGGCAAAAGAAGGAGAAACAAATACAAAGACAAAACACAAAATTGAAGTTGAAGAGGAAAGAATTGTTTTTTATATCAGATGTGTAGCGAAAAGCATGGGTAAAATTGATTAAAATCGTACCTGGATGTAGAAGAAATTTAGGAAGAGGAAGAGAATTGGACAAGTTCAGAAGTTGAAATTTATTACAACCTTGAAGCATATTTTATTCAACTAGTTTCTCTCCACGTGCGTTACCAAATTATGTAATACTCGTATAATTTGTGAATACTATATTATTAAAATTAAAATAAAACTTTGATATTTTTTTTACTGAACATCTATTTTTACATGTAAATATAGATAGATAATCTATGAAAATTAACAACAATAAAAGTATTAGAAGAATTATGGATTAAAATGACAAAAGCAAGACTATAAATCAAATTTTGGATATATGTAGTTATGGTAGCACCAGTTACTTTAATTTAAGAAAATACTAAAACTGATATCTATAATGACACCCAACAATAATAATTTTTTGACAGATAAAGATTTAATTATTTCATAGTATATTTCACTATAGGAAACACTACTATAAAAAAATCATATATATTGTGAGTATATTTGTAAAAAGTTATTTATGCATATGCAAGTAAATTGTCTATATCATTGGCTATCTTCACTTCTTTGGATTTTTTCATTACCTTACTTGGTATTAGTGCAATTTTTTTTATTTTCTACCTTTATGGTACATTTGCGTTTATTTTACTTTATTTTTCTCTATGCGAAACTCACTAAAATTAAATTACCAAAGATTGGACACTTAAAAGTTGAGGATTATACAAAACATGAGTCTTTATAGTCAGATGAAAATGATGCACAAATCAATATATATATATATATATATATACACACACACACTGGTTAATTATAAAAAAGGAGTCTTTATCCAAACTCCAAAGTCCTAAATTTTTCTATCGCATAAAAAGTTAGAGAGAGAAAAAAAGTACACTTTTCACACAAGTTTTCTTCGTTCTATTGTTTCTTGCATATCGTCTATCTCCATTCTTTACTTTGCTTAACACCATCTTTTTAAGAGAAAATACTTTTCCTCGTTAGTACAAAAATCTAATAGCTAAACATATAATTAGATGTCACTCCTTCATTTACCTTTAAAAGAATAGGAATCAAGTTTCAGTTCCATATATGCGAAAGTAAGCATGAAAAAAGAATGAAATCGGAGAGATTAGAAAGATTATTACCTTCTTGAAATAGTATCAACCTCTTGGATTCTTCAAGCAAGATTGAAGACAAAAAATAAAATTTTAAAATGAATCTACCACCCAATAAAATCATAGATTAAATATGGCATTCTTGGGTTGCTTAGGAATTCACTTGAATGATTGTGACTGTTCATGAAAAAGCATGAAGGTTGGCTGGGGAGATTTTTTTTTTTTTTTGATAAGTAGGATATTTAAATTATTGAAAGGGATATTTTAGTAATTTAACATTTGACTAAAGGGCTTCCCACTTTTAATATAGTATATATAGATAGGAGAAAACCCCTAATATGCTCCTTAACAGACGTGGACTCCTCTAAAATATACACGTAGTGGTTGGGCAGAAACATTAAGACACTATATTACGTATTTGTAGATTTGATATGAAATGACATAAATGCCCCCAGGCTTTTTCAAACTAAGCACTCAGGTCGAAACCACCGGCTCTTCTATAATATAGTAACTAGACGAGGAAAGGCCTGTATACGGGCCCAATATTGTAATTTTATAATTGTTGTTTGTTGTTGATTAGTTAATTTTTTGATAAGTAAATAATTATTATTATATCTCTTTTATCACGGATAGAGAATGATATTGGGGATCACAATTTACAATTAATTTATTTTAGTAATTTAGATAAAATTAAAATTAAAATTATAATCTGTTTAAGTTGCTCCAATTAACATTAAAAATTACGTGCTATGATACTCATTTTAACCTTCGATCAATGTCAAACACAAACATCAAATTAGAAAATTGATATCAATGGTATTATTTTTTCACTGTATTTGAATGTTTTACAAGAGAATACATTAAAAAGCTACAAGTGTCATCTATATTAATATTTTGGAATAAAAAGCATATCAATCTATTGTAAACTAATCTAAAATACATCCAAATCGGTCTTGCAAGTGTTTCTACAGTGGGAACAATCAACTACTTGATGAAAGTTTAAACGAACAACATCATCTTTTACAATATGATAAAAGATGGAAAAAAAACTATAACTTTAATTCATATCTTGTATACATCAAAATTAAAAGAAATTTTTAGTACAATAAACAAAGAAAACTTCCGTGGAAATTTGCATTCCCATTAAGGTAATTTACTACTTCAAATAAAGAGAACAATAGGCATTACAACAAATATGAATATGACATAAATTGTAGTAATTCAATATAGAAGTTCACTTTATATTTTTTTATAATTCGTTTAAAATAATAAACTGGTGATAAAATAATAAATATTTAATAGAGGTCTATATAAATTATACGAGTTTTTTTTTTCAATTTAAGGAGATGAGAGAAATGTTTTCATTTTTATACAATTATCATATGTTAATTTTTATAATGAAACAATACAAAAAATATAATAGATAATGTTTAAGACTATTTATTGATATATGAAAACTTATTATGGAAGAATAGAGTTCAACCATATAGATAAATTTCACATCAATTAAGTATATAAGAGATAGCTTCCTAGTACAGTAGGAACAAATCTCATTACTTAAATTAAATTTTGAGGTTTAACAAACTATACTTTTTATAAATACTTTTGAGTCTAAATTTGTTTTGTTTGAAATCGCCTTCAAATAATAGTGTGGATACATAAAAACCATTTAATTTTTATTTTTAAATTGCTTTAAAATAGTATGGGTAAATATGAAAATCTCATAAAAATCTATATCGATACTTCTTTTTATTGCTCTATTATTTAAAAATTAATTTTACTTTTTCTATAAAACTTCTATTTTCGACTAAAACAAAATTACTAATATTACCAATTGAGAAAAAAGGTCTGAAATGAGCATTTGCATGTCGTACTTCCTGCAAAAACAATCTAATCAACACTGGCACATTGCATTTAAAGGATAGTTGTGACTAGGGGAATGTGGGGTCCACGTGTTTCAATGAGGACAAAGTTCTACATTTAAGAAAAGCAAACAATGTAGGAATTTTTATGAAATGACATATATGTCCTTGGTTGACCATCTTTCCTTTTCTATATAATAGAAAAATGTAGCAGAAGATTGTCTTGTTGTTCCCATGGCAGATAGAAAATGTAGGCCACCTAAACTTAGGCTATGACCATTTGAACACTTTAGCTATACCAAAACTGTCTCATTTAGACACACTTTGCTTACATGTTGTTGTACATGATTCGCACCTCATGTGAGAGCGTGACATGCGATATATTATTGTTCAAAAGAGGGGGGATAAACAAAAAAGATATTAGTTCTTCTCTTTCTCCTTCTCCGAGTATCTGGCCAGTTCTCAGCTATCTATGCCTCTTCTTCATCTTGTCAACATACTCCTTTTATCTTCCCGGTGTTGGGCCTCACAATTCTCAAACTAGAGGTGTTTACGGGACTATTGAATTGACTAACTAATTCATCTAGTTTATTGGTTGACATGGTTAATATTGCTCATAAGAATCTGTCGAGTTCTTACTCACCTATTCAAGCTAACCTAACACCTATATGTCTATGGAATTAGAACCAACAAGAATGCATTTATAAATTCTGTACATCAACCAAGCAAGACAATTAGGTATATGTTTATCCTAATCGTGAATCCATTACCCGATGCCCATGTTCAAGAACTTGCTCTACTCAATCCTATATACAATATAGAATTCCCACTTTTGAGTTCAATTCTAGATTCATAAATAATATTCAATTGAGTAACCAAATAATTACGTGCAACATTGAATAAATAAACTTATGCGATAAATCAGGAAATCAAAATTAATATTGGAATAACAATAGTCATGAAAAAACCACAACCCTAGAACATGAAGTTTAGCTCCTCATAGATATGGTAGCTAAACAACAAATCATCAAAAAAAAATATAAATTACTAAGTTTGGGGGAAGAAAAGATAAAATTCAGCCTCCACGACGGTTCCTTGCTCTCCCTAGGTCGAATTCCCTCAAAAAGTGTGTTTAAGGACTATATATATGTGTAGGAAAAGTCCTAGACGATTTTAACCAAGCCCAAGCAAAACAGAAAAAAGTTAGCCTCTGAAATATACTGGCGTGCCGCACTGTTTATGGCACTGAGCTTGGGTGCTATGGTAAGTGTGGGCACTGACTATGG